GGTATCAAACTGGGGCTCATCACCTTCCAGAGATTTCTCTGCATTTAGTGAAAGATTATATCAACACAACTCTGCTACTATAAGGACTTAGTAAGTGTACTTTAAAAAAAGTGTCAAATGGAAAGAGAGGAGATGCATAAATCATCAAAAATGGCAACACAGAAATCAGTGGCCAAACAAAACAACGGCAAAGGCAATTACCCAAGTCCTTGATTTGAAATTGGGTCAATATGACTGGCGACACATAAGCCTCAAGAGGGTCAAGCTTTTTCCTGGGTTTATCATAATTATGCAGAATTATGAGCTAAAGCTTTAAACTTTATGGCCTAATAGCTATAAGCTGATTAAAGGCATTACCTTTTCACATACTTATCGAATGGACTGCCGGCGACAGCATCTGCAGCAGTAACCCAATATGAAATGCAAGTTACGTTTTTGTTTAAAAATCTTTAATTTTCTTTTCCCACAAATTTTCCTTTCTGGCCAACCAAACAGAGAATAAGGATAAAACTATAGCAGAGTTAAAGAGCCGTACAGTTAGGGACAAGGAGCAAATTTGAGAGACCTAGAGACACAGAGATGGAGACCAATCGCCTGCTCTCCCGCCAATTCGACGGTGACGATGCGCACCTCACTCGCGGCAACTTCTTTGCATTTGCGGCGAGCTTTATGGGCTGTAAAGGAGGGGGAGTTAAGGAGCTAAAGGGGTTGGTGCTAACGTGCGCGGTGCTGCTCAATGTGGCCATGCCACCAGAGCTGTCCAAGACACAGATAAACGGTGAAGAATCTGCAAGTCTTATCGGTTTGGTCATCTCAAACTTCCACATATGCCCTTAAATGTTTCTCCATTTAAAAGGCCTAGGTTGTTGTGTCGGAGGGTATTTTTGTAATTTCAAGCTATTCCTTTGTCTTTTGGCCTGTTTGCAATTGCAGTTGCAGATTTGTCCCTTGACCAATTAATAAAGGACAATGCTTGGCTCTTGATATATCAGGAGTCATTCCTTCTCTACACATGACGTGGCCTCATTAAAAAACGACACATGTTTTTTTTTCTTCCACCGACTCTCTCTCTCTCTTCTCACCCACTCTCCTCCCAACTCTCTCTTCTCTCATCTGATACATGAACTTCGTTCTGTAGCAACTCATTAGAAGAAATTTTCATCCCCTTTCTCTTCCCATCGCTGCCATCTGCAATCCTCGGCATCAATGTCGACCACTGTCTTCCATCGCTGCCATCTTCCATCGCTGCCATCTCCCCTTTCTCTTCCCATCGCTGCCATCTTCCCCCTCCCCCATTCCCCGTTCTCTCTCCAATCACCCCTCCTCCATCATCATCACCCAAACACTATATCTTGCCCGTTCTCTCTCCAATCACCCCTCCTCCATCATCATCACCCAAACACTATATCTTGATTTCTCTCCTTTTTAATTTTTAAATTTTATTTATTGGGAAGTTCTGGAACTCTTAGGAATGGTGGAAGATTCCAGGATACAACTTGGGCGAGAAAAATTTTCTCCGGCGTCACTCTCTCTCCTCTAGATCTGAGTTGAAGGGAAAGAGATGGAGAGATAAGATGAGAGAAGACAGAGCATGGGAGGAGAGGAGAGGAGAGGTGAGTGCGTGAGAAAAGAAAGAAAGAAAGAGTCAGTGAAAGAAAAAAAAAGAAAAGAAAGAAAAAAAAAAACAGGTGTCATTTTGTAAGAGGCCATGTCTTGTGTTGAGGAGGAATGGCCCCTGATATATCAGGAGCCAAGCATTGTCCATTAATAAAAATGGCATTCTTCATTTTGTAAGCAAACAACAGTTAACTAACTAACTAACTAACTATAATGAAAGGCCTATAGGGCCTCCATAGCCCGTGTTCATAAACTGTGTAAACCGCGTATCCTTCTCGTATAGGTGACTTGGACTTAGGCAGGGGCTTGGGCTTGTATCCGACCCTGTAGTTGGGCTATCTCTGAGGGAAGATCTGCACACTTATAACAGTATCAGAATAGGAGCAAACTGGGGTTGATCCCAATTGAGCCCTCTCCGATGGTTAAGTCAGGAACTGATTTAAGCTAGGGAGAATGGATGTAGGGTTTTCACAATGAGAATATTTATTACATTTGTCCAGAGATAAGTGAGGGATATTTATAAGGGGGAGAAGGAGAGGTCACAATATTTATGGAGGAGATCTTTTCCCCCATCTCCCCTAGCATGAGTTACATTTAATGTTTTGTCTTTGGTCACCATACTGTTTGACAGGAATCAAGTGGCAAAGTGACAAGCGAACAGGGAGGGGATGGGTGTATTAAATGATCCCTCTCCATTACTAGCTTGTTCGCTAAAAGATTAAAGGGTTAGGCGAGACTTGGTTAAAGATGGGATGCGCATTAATTGATCTCCCTCGCTTGCCAGGCTTTTTACTAAGTGGACGAAGTGATTGACCTGACAGGGGCCTGGTCCGACCTGGCGAGTGCTAGTGCACTTCTAGTCGTCCTCAGTATGGTGGTCAGCTCAGTAACAGGACGTTTGGGCCAAAGGCTTTTGTTTGGATACCCGAGACCTCCCGAGTGCTCAGATAGGTGTTGGTTTTGACAGAGCCATCCATGGCCACGTGGTGATTTGCCATAGGCTCAGCTTGCTATGATAGTATAGGCTATCAACAAACTGTATTAACTGTCAATAATTGGATAATTAGATTCAATGTTCAGGCAGCCCCCAAGTAGCACAAATGGAAAGCAGTTGCACCAACCAAACCATGCCATGAGTGGCAATGGCTTAGCTTCAAAGGAACATCCATTATCCAAATCCGGGTTCGACCCGGTTACTCTGTTGGTGACCTTGCATTGCCACAAGGCCCACAACCACAACCCACAACCTACAAAACAAGTTTTCTCCTGTTTTTTAAACGGAAAATAATATATATAAAAAAGGGAGCAAATGATAGCTGTCCGTTTTAGTAAAGCTCGCACCCGAGTGAAGCCGACACATTACCGGCTTCATCTAACTCTCTCTCTCTCTCTCTCTCTCAGCTGCAACCAGACCACAGCAAAGCAACAATGGCAAAGAGCACATGGTTTCTTTTAGTTTCTCTTCTTGTTGTCTCTGCTGCAGCTGCTACTCAGAGTAAGTTTCCTGCAAATCTACAACACATACACAAAAGTGGTTTCTTTCTTTATGCATATGTTTATAGTAGGACAATGTGACCTTGGAATTGTGTCATGTCTCAGATTTGGAACTTATATCTAAGTGGGTACCAAATGTTGGATCTGCTTTAAGATTTCTGGGACTCTGTTTCTTTACCTTGAGTTGAGTGTGTGTCTTTGATACATTTTCTGAATGTGGCTACACTTCTCACTTCTGCATTTGCATACAAGTCTGTGACTTTATTGGTTGGAGTTTAAGTTGGCTTTAGATCTCTCTGGTCAAGAACAGAGCTTACATTTTAAGTTACTCGATCTATTTTGGTGGGAGATTTTTCACTTAAAAATCTTCATCTTTTTATTATTATTTATGTTTCTAATTAGCTGTTGTAGTCATGTTGATTTTGTTTGCTGACAAAATTTGAGGGAAACAAGAAAAACTATTACAAATTTGGATCGTGGGTTTCATGATTTATGCTTGATTTACAATAATGATAAAGAACGAAAAGCAGAAAAACTTCAAATTATTTGAACCCAATATTCTCCTTACTTGAAGAATTAGTTTTTGGTAACCAAAACAATAGATAAGATTTTATGATTTGGGAGATTTTTTATTTTTTTTGCTTCATTTAGTTCGGTTCTTTCCAGCATTGGGTTCAGTTTGACTTATCAATTGCATGCTCTCAAATAGCGTTCTTGTGGGATCCAAAATAATTTTTCTTGTTTTTGTTTCGTTATTTGTTATATTGGTGTGCTTGGGGATCAGAGAAACTTATAAACTCCCACTTATGCGATCATATGTGAAAATTGCAGTCAAAGTTACTAATAACCCTGCGGATGAGTTAGTGAGTGTAATTAACAGCAACAGAACTGCACACAAGGCATCAACCCTCTACGACAACCCGGGCTTGGCCTGCATTGCCCTGCAGTACATAAAAGCATACCAAGGTGACTGTAGTTCTGTAGGAGGAACTGACGCCAAGAAGCCCCCTGAATCTGAATTTGCTGAAACTTTTGCCCCCAACTGTGGTGTTCTAGCCTCAACCCTCACTCCAATTACCGGTCGTTTACTTGGCTGCCAGTCCAAATATGTGCCTCCTTCTGAAGCATTTTCAAAAATCTTGATTGAAAACAGCAAGGGCTTAGAAATTCTCTACAACAAGAACCACACTGAAGTGGGAGCTGCTGTGAGTGGCAGTGATCGAGGGTCTCCATATTTCTGGTGTGTGTTGTTCAGCAGTGGCAAGACTAACAGCAGCTTTGCAACAGAGGGAGGTGCGCCTAAAATAACAAGACCCGGATGCTTTAGTGGTGCTGATGACGAGTGCAGTGGTGCCGATGATCGATCTAGAAGCAGTCATATGTGGTCATTCACCATAGCTCTGATTGCAATGTGGTATGCCTTTGGATTGTGAAAATCTGGATTGTTTTCCATGTAACTTTGGGGCCCCTTTTGATCTGTTGTATTGATGGGCTTTGTCCTCTGTAATTTGTTCTGTTTCTCATTTTCATTACACGTAGAGTCAAACTGCGAGATCAATGTCATTCATTTTCTTCAGTTATTCCCTTACATGTAAAATATTATTGGCTGCGAAAGGAGCATTCATTTTATATTACTCATTGAATGATAAACGAACCTGTTTAGTTCTGCTATTTTCTTAATTTGGTTGGATTGGAAAGACAATCTTAATTCTATTTGTATGGTTTTGTGTAGAGAGAGAATTCCTAGGATTTTCGAGAGGTGAAAAGGTTTTTTTCTTCTTATTTTTTCCTTTCAATACTGAGAATCTGCTGAATCTTGGCTCAGAAAACAAAGACTTCAAGACTTCCAATTCAACAAGAAGCTGCTTATTCTTATTTATATAAAAAAAAAGATACATGAACTTCGTTCTGTAAAGCGATAAGCAAATTACATGGCCAAAAACAAGTACTACAAAAGATTTGAGCTAAGCCTCCCAGTTCCTAATAGAAGCTTTACACTTCAACACCAACGCAAGAACCATGAGAATTATCGTGATGCCACTAGAAGAACCGCCAACTCTGTGAATCCAGTAAGGATCAAACCTGGTAAAGCTTCGGTCCAAGTAAAGCGACAAAGTGAGGGCCAAGATCAACACCAAGAGCAGCAGAGGCAACCAAGAAGCAAAGTTAATAGGGTGCTCCAAATCAAGTTCTGAATCATCTACCGTTGTCCGGTCGATATAGAGAGGAGAAAGCACAGCTAGAAGGGCCAACCCGATGGCCACCAACCTCTCATATGAAGAAAACCTGCTCGTCCTCCTCGATGCAGCTCCGGGCTCCATTCAGGAAACTACCTCAGGACTCAGGACAACCCACCCTTTCTCTTGTCTAACTTGGCTCTGTTAAGAATGCAAGACTTACAAAGTGAGAACCAAAATACCCTCCATTCCGAAAAAGAAGTTTGCTCTGTGGAGTGCATAGGTCTAGTTATAGCTCACTCTCTATCTTGTTCGTCCAATTGAATTACTGAATTACTTTTTCGAAACAGAAGCTTATCTTAGTTTGTTTATCAGTGCAGATGTCCAATTTGATGGTTCTCATAGGGAGTTTGACCCAAGGAATCCTTCCAGAGACTAGGGAGTTAGCATCTTAACCATTAAGGCTCTAGTGTCAGATTGAGTGGGATAAATTATTCTCCATTAAGGAAAATCTTTATTTAAAAAAATGATAGCCTTTTGGAATCGGATGCTTTATGCGTCACATGGATTTTCAAGACTCTTGCCGTATGAATCAAATTGTTGAAAACACAACTATAGTTAATCTCGATTATCAAGAAAAGGAATATGGGTCATGAATGACAGACAAACTACAAAAGCAACTTGTGTCTAAACCCAACAACGAAGAAGGTGGAAGCTGCCTATAGGACTTCCACAGTTCAAACTTTTCTCCAAACTAATTTATCTATGAAACTTCGTTTTGGGAAACATTCCATGGACCTGAAGAGTGAAAACTAGGCTCAACAGTATCCAATTGAAAACCATCCAGAAACGGGCTTCTGTCCTCAAATATCATCACTTGATCAACAAACTAAAATATGGGCTTCATAGTCGAAAGCAGGTACCACAGTGGTGGCCTCCCCCCTTACCCCTGCTTGATACTCAGGTTCGAAACCCCAAGGGGTTTCTTTCCTCCCAATGTAACTGAAAAAAAAATATGGGCTTCATAGCAGCTGATATATCAAAACTGCATCAGACTAGTAACCAACCACTCCTGTGTAAAAAATATATGTATAAATTTGCCATATGCTTTAGCATCAATGCACCACCACCTTTTATGCTAGGCAAAATTAATTTGTGCAGTTTCAGCCAAGTACACAGAAAGAAAGAAAGAAAGAAATAGCCGTAAGATTAGTGTCGATTACTCGAATATTACAAAAAAAACAATGGAGGGTAAAGCCTAACTGACACCACCAGAGCTCTTCGTGTTGTTTCCCTGAAGCCTTGTCATCCATTTCTTCTGAGATGTAGAGAGGTTAGTAATTCCCGCAGGAGAAGCAGTGACTTGTTGTGATGAGGCTGGAAGCTCTGCAGGTAGAGCAGCAGCTGTGCTTGTAAAGGCATTCAGAACCAAAAATGCCAGAATGGGAGAGAGGTCCAATGTGCCTCCAAGTGGTGGGATTAGCCCACGAAATATGTTCAAGTAAGGGTCACATATTGTGCTGCACAATGCACCACATCCACATCATAATCAATTTGATGTTCTTTTACATTAAAACTTTATGAATGGGATACACTAAAATGTGCGATTTTTATTCACAGTCTAACAATATAACGTGAGTACTTTATTAAGTTACCAAAACATTATTGTAAATGTATCCAATACTAAAGTGAATAAAAGAGGTTAATTAACAAGGGTACCTGAGGGGGCCAACAATGGCAGGAGGGGAGTTGGGGAACCAGGTCAAGACAAGCCTGACAACCAAGAGAGTGTTGTACAAGTTCAAGAAGTTGGAGATACCATTTGCCACCACAAGCCCTGCCACTGAATCTCCTGGTAAAACCGCTGCAAAATTGTGAGCTGATAAAGTCTCCACCTGCCTGTGCTTCCTGCACCTAATCTGAACGCACCCAGAAGAAAAAAATACAAAAAAAGGTTGAAGCTTTAGTTACACTTGCATTGATAAATTTGAAATTAACCATGAAATCAATGCAGAGAGACATGCCTGGTGGCAGAGACTTTGAAATTCAGAACGCAAAGAGAGCAGTTTGCTGAGAAACGGGTTTTGAGAAGCCAATGAGTGAAGCAATTGGAGACACTTATCAGTGGCGGATGCAATTGAAGCTGGAATGTCGGGAAGAACCAAATTGGGCTTCTTTAATGGCGATGCTCTGAGAAACGGTGCAAAATTGGTTGAAGAAAGTAGCATTGCGCAGTTTGGAGCAAAATTGGAGGCTAAGGGCTTCGGGGTCTCGGTGGCCGACGCCGACTCACTGTGAGCCATTTTCGAGCGTTTGTGAGGAAGCAGAAGCTGAAGCTGAAGTTCAACCAGATAAAAGCGTGGATCAGGAAAGATATAAAATATTTGGATAATTTTGTTGTATCTCATGTGGTGTAGTTGTTACGACGACGTTTCCTCTCCACTCGTTTTTCTTTGGTGGGTACTTTTTTTTTTGGTGAATATGGGTACTTTACTACGTGGTAGTTTCACCAAAACAAGCATGGGTATGGTTACTCTACATGTGAGCTGGGATTCAAGCTGTATATTTGTTCTCATTGTCTTGTTAAAAAAAATTCAGAACGAGAAGAACGAGCCCCCCAAACAAGGCAACAATAATTAAATATATATATTTTTCGTTTTTTCTTTTAAATAAGCAAATCTAGTAAGAAAATTGATAAATAATAGAAAATGACGAAAGCAAATGGCACCGGGTTGACCCGTTTAAGCCCAACATGAACACATAGGCCCAATTTAGGCCCAAATACCGTATTTGTTCATCACTTTTAATATTCCATATGAGGGGCATAATAGTCAATCTACAACATGCTTGGGCAATTAATATCTTTAGCAGTTTTTAATATTTTCTAGTTGAGCTCATTTAAAACGAGGTTCATTAAAACGAGCTGCTCACAGACAAAAGATGAAACGGAGATGATAATAATCTGACGCGTCAAATTATATTTAATTATAGCGCCAATAGTTTAACCAATTCCACGACCACCTCTACCTTTCCCGGTCATCGTCCACCACGTCCTCCTCTCTTCTCTATCAGATCTCTCTCTTCCTCTTTCTCTCTCTATCTCTCGGTCGCTGAAGTGAGCTTTCTCTCTCTACAGGCTATATACCGATGGTGAATGGTATGCTAAGGCTCTCTCTCTCACCTGATCCAAAGCTCCTCTTCAGCTACAGTTCCAGCTCCAATGTTGACCGCTTCGCCTTCAACTTCAAGCCTCACCTCCCGCAACGTCGTCGTTCCAATCCCCTCCTCCAGCCCCGCTCAACCTCTAATTTCACTCTCTCCAGCTCCCTCCAAGCCTCGGCTAACACCGCGGCGCTTCAGCAAGTTCAGCAAGAACCGCGCGCCGCCGATACCTCGGTGCTGCTCGACGTCTCCGGGATGATGTGCGGCGGCTGCGTCTCTCGAGTCAAATCGGTGCTCTCCGCCGACGAACGAGTCGACTCGGTTGCGGTCAACATGTTGACCGAGACGGCGGCGATTAAGCTGAGGCCGGAGGTCGCCGCCGACGGAGTTGAGACCGTGGCGGAGAACTTGGCCGGGAGGTTGACGGAGTGCGGCTTTGCGTCAAAGAGGAGAGCTTCCGGGATGGGAGTGACGGAGAGTGTGAGGAAGTGGAAAGAAATGGTGAAGAAGAAAGAGGAGATGTTAGTGAAGAGCAGGAACAGAGTGATTTTCGCGTGGACTTTGGTGGCCTTGTGCTGTGGATCACACGCTTCCCACATTTTGCATTCTCTTGGAATTCATGTAGCTCATGGTAACACTAGTGATAACAAAAAATGATTTCTTTGTTTAGAAATTTCAATTTTGTAGACATATTAAATTTGTGTTGTATTGATTTAGGATCGTTTTGGGAGGTGCTTCATAATTCGTATTTGAAGGCTGGTTTGGCTTCTGGAGCTTTGTTAGGACCCGGACGAGGTTGGTTGGTCTTCTGCAATTTACTTGTACTTTCAAAATTCTTTGATTACAATCTGCCAAGCAGTAGTGCTCTAGCATAATGGGTAGTTTACAACTTCAGTTTCAATTTGTCCCAGACTTGCTTTTTGATGGTCTGAGAGCCTTAAAGAAAGGATCCCCCAATATGAATTCTCTTGTGGGATTTGGATCCCTAGCTGCTTTCACAATTAGTGCGGTCAGTCCCTCTTTTTCAAAAAGTTAGCATTAGCATTCCAATTTGTTTTTGTTTTAAATTGTGTAATTTGAATTCTTTGCTCTTGTAGGTCTCGCTTCTTAACCCTGGCCTTCAATGGGATGCGTCATTCTTTGATGAACCGGTGACTTGTTTTGCTTTCAACCTTTGCATTGTTTATAGTTTATGATTTTTTTCTGCTTTTTGTACGATCCTACTAGCAGTTTGTTGATATCCCATACCAAGCTTGAGCCTTGACTTGACCAAAAAAAAAATCTTGAGCCTTTAGTATCCAATTTTGTACTTGGCTTGGCTTGCTTACAGTTGCCTATCGACTTGATTGAGATATGTTCGTTTTAAAGCTTGTGGATGAAACATTAATATTGTTGGTCGATGAGAAATTTCTCATAAAGCTCCTTTCTTTTAGCATGCAGGTCATGCTTCTTGGTTTTGTGCTCCTAGGACGTTCTCTTGAAGAAAGGGCAAGGATCAGGGCATCTAGTGATATGAATGAACTCTTGGTAAGTTAGAATGTGATCTATATTTGTTATTTAAATAGAAAAACTATAAACACAATACAGTATATGGTGTTGCTTTCCTTCTCTTATTTTTTAATATTTTGTGGTGTATAGTATAACCAACACATGACTGATTTGAATGTGCTTGGCAGTCACTGATAAACACGCAATCAAGACTTGTAATTGCTTCCTCAGAAAATGATTCCTCCACCGACAGTGTACTTTGCGCTGATGCAATATGCGTTGAGGTCCCAACTGATGATATTCGAGTTGGAGACTCTGTGTTGGTTTTGCCAGGAGAAACCATACCTGTGGATGTAAGCATTTTAGATTGTCTACAGACACCGTCATTAAAAATCCAAATTTCAATTATTACTCTAGTTTGATTGGCATGGCCTATTGAAACTTCAAGCGAAACTCAAGAAATGTATATTGAAATGAGTGTGAATCATAGGATAATAGGGTTTTATACAAAAGGCCTCGATGTTATTAGGAGTGGAGTCATTCATTATATGAGACTTTCTTTTTTAATAAGTTTTCGATGTGGGACTGTGTGTATTCTTCCCTAATCTTTTCTTCTTTTGTGTTTGGAAACTTTGGGATTGAGTGTTTGCTGAAAATAAACTGCTTCAACAGGGAAGAGTTGTGGCTGGAAGAAGTGTTGTGGACGAATCCATGCTTACAGGAGAATCACTTCCTGTATTTAAGGAAAAGGACCTTACTGTCTCAGCGGGAACAATAAACTGGGTATGTTTACGTACACTGGAGAGTGATGTGTAATTTTAATAGGTTGTCACTAACACCCATAGTTTTCGTTTTATTTTTTATTTTTATTTTTCAGTTCATACTTCTGTACTTGCTTTAGTTTGACTCGTTGAAGAGCTTTCTAAGTCATGTATCACCTGGAGAAATCGAGGACAGGAAGTTCACAGATTAAAATGGGAACATAGCTGGGCATTTAGTTAACCTTGCTGGATTAGGTCAAGAGTTTAGAGTGTATTCACATAGCTTATATGCATATAAGTCACCTGTAAAGTTTTGGTAGTTAATTGTATTTGAAATTTATCTCTGCGTACTTAAAACAGAAGGGCAACTGTTCACTTATTTCAGGATGGTCCATTGCGGGTTGAAGCATCTTCAACTGGCTCCAATTCAATGATATCCAAGATTGTTCGCATGGTTAGTAACTACTTTTGCTTATGACACAGACAATTTATTACATATGAGGTAGAGGACAGACACTTTTCCACATTGGAGGGAAGGCTGATAATGCAAGGAAAGTTTTAGTTTGATATTGCCTGTGTATTATTAGTCAATTTCAGCACGCTTACTCTTTCTTCAATGCATGCATATCATACTTGTCAGGTTGAGGATGCTCAAGGCAATGAAGCACCCATACAAAGGCTTGCTGATTCAATAGCTGGACCATTTGTTTACAGTATAATGACACTATCAGCTACAACATTTGCTTTTTGGTATGTGGTCTTTTTTTTACTTTCTCACATATCACGATTGTTAGGCCTGAGTCTTATTTTCATAAAATTTGTTAAGATCATTTATATTACATAGAAGCTTAAAGAACCATCATGTTACTGAAGTTTTGGATGCATGCATGAGTATAAAACTAATCGACTTTACAGCGCAGTGTGTTTTCTTTTCACTTGGTAAAAACATTGTCATGCATGAGTGCCAAGTGGCTCTTCCCAACTATGCATGGTTATGCTTTGAAGTCATGTTCAGGTACTACATTGGAACACAAATTTTTCCTGATGTTTTGTTCAACGATATTGCGGGACCAGACGGAGATCCATTGTTGTTGAGCTTGAAACTTGCTGTGGATGTCTTGGTTAGTATGGTGTTTTAACGCAAATCACTATTTCAGTGAATTGATTGACTTGATTTATATTTGATTTATGATTATTAATCACTATTATTCAGAAAAATGGATTTTTTTCCTAACTTAGGTAATAGCTTAAATTGTGTAATTACACCCTTGTACAATACAACAATTACTGATTATAAAACCACGATATTACAATTACTTTTTTGCAGATTACTAGACATTTTCCTGCTTGATAAAGAATATATCTCATATGAAAAACCTCTCCGAAACGTTTTTCAAACAAGTATGCATGTTTCTTTTGCAGGTAGTTTCTTGCCCTTGTGCACTGGGTCTTGCCACACCCACAGCAATCCTAGTTGGCACTTCTCTTGGTACACCATCAAAAATTTTATTTGATGTTGCATATTGTAATAGAGGTTCTAAGTCATATATGTGAGAGAGTCATGCTAGCTAGGTATTTGATGCAGAATCCTGCCATGTTTCAAATTTACTCGTTACCACCATGCTTACAAATATTACTAGTTACACACACTATGTAGTCTCGGTTCTAATTTTACTTCTGTTGCACTGAAAAATGAGCAGGAGCAAGGCAAGGGCTCCTTGTGAGAGGAGCAGATGTGCTGGAACGTTTGGCCAACATAGATTATATTGCTTTAGACAAGGTAATTTACATTGCACAATTTCATGCTCACACCCAGAAACTGGCTCTGAAGTTTAAAGATATGTTGACTAAGTGCTGCATTTCACTCTAGCTTATATGTGAAACTGCAAATCTCACTCTGAACCTCAACCTTCAGACAGGAACCCTCACAGAAGGAAAACCTTCTGTTTCTGGTATTGCTTCTTTTATGTATGAAGAGTCGGAAATTCTTCAAATTTCTGCTGCAGTAGAGAATACAGCATCGCATCCAATTGCCAAGGCCATCATAAATAAAGCAAAATCGTTAAATATTAGTATCCCAGTCACGGAAAGACAATTAACAGAACCAGGTTTTGGAACTTTAGCAGAAGTAGATGGCCGTTTGGTTGCAGTCGGTAGTTTAGAATGGGTTCACGAACGGTTCCAGAGACAAACCGATATGTCTGACATTTTGAATCTAGAACAGGCTGTGCGTCAAACATCAGAAGGCATTACACCTTCAAGCTATTCAAAAACAATTGTTTATGTTGGACGTGAAGGAGAAGGCATCATCGGTGCTATTGCAATATCTGATAGCCTGCGGCATGATGCTGAGTTTACTGTAACTAGGTAATACCTCCATTACCTTATAAGCATTAGGTTTAGGGTGCTTACTTAGCAAGGAACCATTTACTTATTATCTACCCTTTATTTGTGCATACTCAAAATTTCCCGTTTCCTGTCTTTGACTATTGTCATTTGTGCATGCAAATGTTTTATCTATAATTTGAACTATCCTTACCAAAACAACCACAGCAATGCTCTGTTCAATCTTTTGTCTACAAATAACATAGAGCATATGGCGGATTTTGTGACGGCACGCTTTATATATGACCTGTCTTAGTTTTCCTTTATTATTTGATCCTATTGCTGCATCTTTTGTTTGTTATTTTTTGTATGTAACCCTTTTACTCTAATTTTATCGAGTTATTATCTGCTTGGTGTGCTGACATTTTGTTGCTCTGACTGCTAGACTCCAGCAGAAAGGTATCAGAACTGTCCTCTTTTCTGGAGACAGGGAAGAGGCAGTTGCAACTATAGCGAAAGCTGTTGGAATAGAAACTGAATTTATCAAATCATCATTGACTCCACAAGGGAAATCTGGAGCTATTTCTAGTCTTAAAGATGAAGGGCATCGTGTTGCAATGGTACCTGTGTGAATTTAATCACTTATTTTCTCCAATTTTTTTGCTTTTGCTGTGCCAAATCTTTTGTAACACAATGGTAAATCTGTATGTAACACTAAAAGCTACATGCCAAAGATTCATTATACCTCATCATCTCTGCAGAATTAGAGAGTTGATGCTAAAACTGACGTGTCTAGTTCTTTTGAAGGTTGGTGATGGCATAAATGACGCACCATCTTTGGCTCTTGCGGACGTTGGGATTGCTCTTCAGGTTGAGGGGCAAGAAAATGCTGCTTCAAATGCTGCTTCCATCATACTTCTTGGAAACAAATTATCACAAGTAATTTCTACAGTCTCATAAACAAGTCTTACTAGCTTCTCCACTCCATGTTTTCGTACTCGATGACTGGAACCTGTTCCTTGCAGGTTGTAGATGCACTGGAACTGGCACAGGCAACAATGGCAAAAGTCTACCAGAATTTATCTTGGGCGGTTGCATATAACGTAATTGCGATCCCCATAGCTGCCGGAGTACTGCTTCCTCAATATGATTTTGCCATGACACCATCGCTTTCCGGTGAGTAAAATTATCTTCCTCATTCCTTTAGTTCCTGCTGGATGCTTGTTCCTTGTCTATGAATGAATCTCTTCCAATAACACAATATTGGGTTTTGACAGGAGGGATGATGGCTTTGAGCTCAATATTTGTAGTTACCAATTCATTGCTTCTACAGCTCCATAGGTCTGACGGGAGTAGAAAGAGTAGCTAGCTCCGCTACTGCTGCAGGTTTCCGTCTGTTCAAGCATTGGAGTTGAATAATTAGGTTAAATTTAAATTTTTTTCTGTTAACAGTGGGATTAATTGAACAGTGAAGTTATTGCTTCCTTATTCCATCTGTATTGTCCCAGAATTTATGTAATTGGTATAATATAGCATCAATAATTTCGAATCTCATGCCCCCTTGATTTAAAAAAACAAAGCTTAAATGCTAAAATGGTCTGTGTGTTTTACTACATTGGTAATTTAATCCCTATGTTTTTAATTTAGCCAATTTGGTCCTTGTGATAGTTAGTTAATCTAATCCATTCTGTTAAATTTCAGTTAAAATTCTTTAAAAATTATTTAAATACTCATATAAAAAAATTAAGAACTAAACAAAAATAGAAAAATCCGCCTCTCAGCCACCACAACCCTTCTCTCCCCTCGTTCTCTGCAGCAACCACTGGCGGATCCAGAGATTTTTTAGCAGAGGTGCAATATTGACTAAGTATGAAAAATGGTTTTTCGGAATAATCATTTTCAAGTTTTTTAATTTTTCTACTGTCACGTACGATGTGTGCGCGCAGATTTAATAAGGAGAAAGTGAAAGTAAGTTTTAGTTTTAAATCAATAATTAAAACTCCTTTTAATTAATTGGAAATATGTTTTGATCTGCAGTTTAGGTTTGGAAATTTTGGATCATTAGAGTAAAACGGAACTTATGTGACAAGAGAATTCATCCTCTCTTTCAGGAGATGGTGCAACTATCCCCATCCTGCAAACAAATAATGTGTTTTTACTGTCTCTTATTATATCATATCCCCAAACACACTGATATTCTTGGTGTCCCGCAACCGGACCGAGAGGGTCGGTCGACCGGCAAGCATGGTCGAGCACTCAACTGTCTTTATCTCGCAATTGAAGCTTTCTGAATTTATCATATATGTGCATTATCATGGTCATAACCTTTTTTCGTTTTATTAATGTGGTGCATTATCATAGTTAGTTTTTTTGCATTGAGGTTTATGTTATGGAGAGCGAGAGAGGAGGATATATAATTGAATGTGATGTCCTTTGTTCACAGTTTACTTGTCCCACCAGCCAAGTTGCCAACACTCATTTAATTATTTACTTGTAGTACCAGTACTACAACAAAGAGCCAGACAGGGGAGAAAGAGAAGCACATTCCAGTCCATGTGGTCTACACTACCAACAACCATGGGCACCAAAAGTGATGCAAATTTCATGGCTGACGATCCACGTACCCACCCTCACAAAACAATACATCATGAGATTCCATCTCCAAAACTTCTTTAACTACTTTTACATTCCAAAACATACTTTATATTTCATATTTCACGTAACGTTACTAATTCACATAATTCACATGACATGATATCACAACTAATTCACATGATATGATATCACCGTATCATTGAGCGACAAACACAAATTTATATTTTGAATCAAAATATCAATAAATAAAACATTTGTCTTATATTAAAGAGAGATAAAATCATGGACCACTGCATTCATTACACAAGACACAGGGAGAATCATGGGCCACTGAATAATACATTTATCACATAGAAAGATACTACATTGTTAATGGCCTGCCCTTGGGCCTCAAGCTTTTCGAATTTGAAAAGGAAATTTATAATAAAAAGAATAAATTCGGGATTTTAAAAAAAAATCATGGTGTGGACAAAGAACGTTAGGGTATTAATTAAATTTCTCAAATTTTCAATCGTCTTTGTTACTAACTAACTATTAATTTAATAATATTTCTCTTTCCAACGATAGAATATGTCCAATACCCCGTCCCAAAATGTCAAAATAAATGGTTTCCTCTAAGTAGACAATCACTGTGCAATTGGGATATATATGATTCTGAAATGATGTTTTAAGAGTGAGATATTCTTCTTTTAGGATCCGGTACGTGGGAAGCAAGGCCCTATTTTATTATTAATTTTGGGTTGGCTAATATATTTGAGAATAATTTCGGGCCCATTAAGCTTTTTTATATGGTCAGGTGGGCCAATGAAGCTTTTTTTTAAAGTCAGGTGGGCCCATGAGGCTTTTAATATACACATTTAATGGGCACGTGATTGAGAGGAACTGCTGTTGAGAGAGAGAGAGAGAGAGAGAGAGAGAGAGAGAGAGAGAGAGAGGGCCTTCAAATTAAAACACGCCTTGCATGTGAGATTGGGGCCAACATACCCCATCCTCATATGTCTTGCCCGTGCCCTATTATTTTTTGCATCTTCTTCACTCCCCATCATTAAAATGTCATTCCCCTTCCATAAAATTTAAGAATCAATTCTTCTTCTTACAAACAAAAAGAATTGATGATTCAATGTTTTTCTAGAAATGCTAACCAATATTATTAGCTTTTTTGAGAACCTAATAGCTACTTTTTTAGAAAACTATAAGAAAAAATTTGTAGACGCAGCCTTGGCGGCCACCCTTCCTACTTTATCCCATTTCTTATCCTCTCATCCTCTTCCCTCTCATTCCCTTCCTTATCCCTTTGGATTCCTTTGTTTTTTGTTTTGGGGTCGCCGTGAAATGTTGTAATTGTCATCTTTTGTGATTGCACGAAATGATGTGGAGCGGTAGTCTTGTTTCTGAGTTTGTTTTGGTCTAATAATTCTCATGAACTCTTTAGGAGTTTGATGTGGTTTGTTTTTTGTTTAGGATGTTTTATTTTCTTTTGGCTTTTGGCGTTCAATATGAGTTTGTCCTTTCTGCCGTTGCGTAACAAATCAACTTGTTGTTGCATTTGTATCCATATTCGACACCTTAGTTGCTTTGTACTTATTTTTGTTTATCTTATCAATAAAAATATTATCGCTCTTTTATTGTTGCATTTGTATCCATATTCGACACCTTAGTTGCTTTGTACTTATTTTTGTTTATCTTATCAATAAAAATATTATCGCTCTTTTATAAAATTAAAAAATTAAAAATGCTAACCAAAATTTCAAGGGTTTTTCAAGATATATATGTATTAATGGAAATTTTTCGCTTATAACACAAAAATACAAATAGTAAGCTGCTACTGATATTACTAAACGAAGAGAAATCAGCTAGAGGACTTCGGATGAAAAAATAACGGTTTTAACGAGTTGAATTACAAGTTCATTACATATAAATTAATTTTTAAGCTTATAAATTCATTATATGAAGTTTTTATTATAGTTTCTATCCCAAAATGTGGAGAGACTTGTGAGGGCATATCCATGAGGGCCGGCCTGATTCGACATTGTTGTTTACTCATTGTCTTGAGTATATAGGTACATTTTCATGTACATGGGTAATAGGTATTTCAATATACCTACAATTTCGTACCCACGTATATATTCAAGGGTTAAAGACCATTTGGGTCCTAGGTTTGCTTGAATCTTCATTTTGGGCCATGTGTTTTGAATTCGACCAGTTTGGTCATTAATGTTATACCAAGTTAATAATAATTGCTCACTTTTACTTAATTTAATGTTAATCTAATTGGAAAGGATACAAATTATTAATATGTTTAAATCCAATGACTAAATTGAGCAAATTGAAAACAAAATAAATAGCCCTGTTGTAGTCTGCATATGATCTATAACTTAAGGTAAAACCAGACAGATGAGCTCACTGTACATATGCTTATTATGATCATATTGCATGGCAGATTCTCAACCCACGTGGCAGCCTCTACATGGTAAGGTTGTACGATATTAATATTTTTCCTTTCGTTAATAATGGATATTATTTATTTTCTTTTTTATAAAAAAAAGCAAGAATTGTATTCATAAATTAAACACAAGGACCATGAGTCATCAATCATAAGACCATCTATATTTTAATCTAATTCCTTTCCCAACCCAATAAAAGTAAGAGGATAAAATTTGGGAAAACCCAAACTTGAGACCAAATACCAGTCAAGCTATTGCCTAGATTGGATTTTTTTTTGTGGAGCTTGCATAGCCGTGATGTAGCCCATGTGCAAGGAGGAAACAATAGGGCACCAGGTGTCGCGTTGCTGGTGCTGCAAAAGCTGTTGTGCATTGGTGTGGCAACATTTATTTATTTATTTATTTATATTCCAATAATAACCCAAATCAACGATCCATATTAAATGCAAGCTATTTTAACAAGAAAAAAAAGATCAAACACCTGGAATTTAAATCCAACAGTTAAAATAATATTTTAAATTAATCTAAATCATATCCAACCCCAAAACTCACTCCAAACTCTATAAATACCCACCTATTTCTCAAATAAAATAATATTTATGGAATTTCAATTTTTTAAGTCAAATTGTTCCAATAATTAAATTATGAATTTAAAAAGATTAAATAAAGAAAAGTTATTTATGGAAAAAAAAAATTAGACTTAAACCATTATTAAACAATTTAATAAAGTTGTAGATTTAAAATTTGAGAATGAAAGGTTGGGGGAAAAAAAGTTTGAGTCTGGGCAAAAACCTAAATAGTTACTTTTAAAGAGGGAAATTTGGGTTTAAAGAGGGAAATTTGGGTTTAGGACCAAATGGGTTGGAGAAGGCCTAAGAGCACTTCCACCCATTATGCCATGACAAAGGGCAAGGGTAAGGGTAAGTAAGGGCAAAAACTATTCACATGAATAGTGTCTGCCATACCCTTTTTAATTTTGCTTTCCCACCCATTGCCATGGTAAGTAAAGGCAAACACTATTCACATGAGATATGAGGAGAGGAATTTATATGGAATTTTAGTGTGAAAAGTGAAGAACATGGTTAGGTATTTTAAAATATATATATATATATATATATACATATATTTATATTTTTTGGGTATTTAAATTGGTCGCTGATGTCACACTGACATCAACAAACCCATGCAGCAACCCAAACAATTCATTTTTTTTGGGCTGGCCGAGGTAAACGGGGCCCATTCTTGCCCAGTCTAACCTTTGCTGTTATGGGCATTAATTCAAGACTAGGTTGCCTTTTGCATGGGTGGAAGTGCTCTAAGGGCAAATACAAATGCTTACAAAGGGGTAATACAAATATGGAATCATAGTAACGATATGAGGTTAATCCATATACATGCCACAAAAGGCTATAAAAATTTCGTCATAAAAGCCGCATGCTTGAACAAACCAAACCTGAATCACAATGCCCAAATCTACCAATACAACTACAACTTTTAACTCTCACAAGTACAAAATACAAGTAGAGACTAGAAAAC